GCGAATGTTAACAGGAAATAATAGCTATATTAGATGTATCCAGCCTGGATCTCCATCCTCATGGGTTTTTAACATTCAAAACTGCTGTGTCGAACACTGATGTCATTCACTGTCCCCAGACCCATCTCAGTCACCCAGCAGGAACCTCAGTGCCTGTCCTGTCACAGCACACCCATAACCGCCAACCGCAGCGGTCGCTTGGCGAGACCTCTCCACACTTGCTCATCCCTTGTTCTCATGCACAGGTCTGGTTTGGCTCCCATCCCTTTCTGCCTGGACTTAGGAGTCTGCTGAGGTGGTGTTTCCTAAAAGATACACCTGATGCTCCTCAAGAGCCTCCACTACAGTCCGTGTGTCCTCACCTCTGCTCCTAGCTCGAGGCACACCACACACGTCCACTGCTGCCAAGCACGCTCCCAGCCAGGTGCTCTACTAATGCCATCTCCTCTGGGAGCCCGTGGCCAGTCCCCAGGCAGGACCATTCTCCTCCCTCCTTCACCTCTGGGGTCACTGATGGTGGAACACACCTCACTCATAAGCTAGCTCACAGGCTGGCCCTCGCTTTCCCACCCTGTGTGCCGAGCCAGGCACGTGTCAGAGCTCAGTATCAGGGGCTCAGTCTGCATTTGTTTCGAGGGCAACGTGGGAGAATGAGGAACCCGGCCGCTAAAGCGCAGGCAGGACGGCAGAGCCGGGGCTGCTGGACACTGTGCGGACAGAGGAAAACAGAACGGCGGGCTGTCTAAGGTGTGTCTAGGAGAATACCCAAGAAATTGGTAACATCGGGCAGCTGAGGGGTAGGGAGGGACTGTACATTGCTTCATATATTCTCAATTTTGAACCCTGTGGGACAGACCATGCCAGAAAGATAAATTCACATCCACAGCAAAAGCATCAAAAAACAAACACCTGCTCAAGCTAAGACACAAGAGGTGGGCAGGGGCAGTCCTCACGCCCAGGCCGATTGATGCTCCCTGCTGAGACCACACCCACAGAAATAAGCCAGTGACCCAAGCCACCATGGCGCTGGCACAAATCCATGGAAACAGACATAACAGGTTTAGTGCTATGTAATAATAATGGGTATAGCAAGGTTAGTGTTAGCTCATAATAGCCTAATTATCCCAAGAAAAAAGTAATCTAATTATTCCTTAAAATAATCCTGCCTATTCAGTACGAATAACCCCCCCCGACCACCCCCAGAACACGAGGGAAAATGACGCCGTGGGAGCCCACCTCTATGTCCTCCGAGAGTTTTCTCAGTCTGAGAGCTTCTTTCAGATCCAGAATCTCCCCCTCCTGGGCCTTAGTCAATGCCTTGCTCTCTTCTTTGTCAGCCAGAGCAGAGTTGTATTTGTGCTGCAGAAAAGAAAGCCTGCTTTCAGATGACCGTAACTTAAGAATGAGCCTGAGCATCACGGCGACCACCAGCTTCCACGTCCACACAGGGAGTGCAGTAAACCCTGGCTGAAGGCCTGAGTACACGTGTGTGTACAAGGGGCTAATTTCACAAGCATCAATCAGTGCAAAGCTGTCTATCAGGGGCACAGGCTTCCCGGTCAAGCAGAGGAGGGAGGAAAGGTGGCGGGACCTTCCCTGAGACGGCAGGGCAGGAGCGAGCACCAACATCCGATTTGGGGCATATGCTGGAGAAGCAAGCCATTGCTTCATGGAAGCACCTGCAGTCCATTAGTGGCAAAATAAACTCAGTTGGTAGAAAACGGTGGGTTCTAACAAAGCGTGGCTTCTGTTCTCCCTGAGGCCCCTAAGGAACGGTCACAGGCAACAACCAGTCACGTTTTAACCAGCAATTCCCTAAAGATGCTCAGAGGACAGATGGTGCAGCTTATGGCCCCGCCTCCCACCCCCCACCCCATGTCCTGCAGGCTGACACCTTCAGAGGCACCACAGCTCCTGCAAATGGAGAACTCTCTGGCACTGTAATTGGCTTGACTACAGAATCAAGAGGGTGGAGCTTTATTAACCTCTCACATCACGGAGTCTATGAAGTGTGTCTCGTGCTCTGATTTAAAATGGCCTCATGGGGCACAGAACTTACGTGAATGTCCTTCAGTTCTTGCTTCAGGGAGTCCACGGTCTCTGTTTTCTCAGCGAGTGATGCTCTCAGTTCCTGGATCTGACTCATGAGGCTGGCCACAACTTCCTAACGAGGACAGACACAAAAATCTTCATGCCAGTGACGCGAAGGACATAATTTTAAAATGGTAACTCATCCATCTTTCCAAATAGCAAGACAAATCAATTTTATATTAGCAAAATATCATGTATCACAGTACTCATATTATCAGTTTAAAATGCAATGGTGTCATATTCTTTAGTCTGTACATTTTCTTTTTTTTTCTTCCCATTTCTTTTTTTTTTTTTTTTACATTTTATTAGGGGCTCATACAACTGTTATCGCAATCCATACACACATCAATTGTGTAAAGCGCATTTGTACCTCGTTTCTCAAAACATTTTCTCTCCACTTAAAGCCCGACATCAGGTCCTCATTTCCCCTCCCTCCCCGCCCCCCAGTCTGTGCATTTTCTTTGACTTTATGAACTAGTCGGACTAAACACAGAAGCACCTCCATAAGGCCGCTGCCTGACTCCACCGTGTGGTCTCCTCCCACGTCGCCAAGGTGCAGTCTGACCACGGTTCTATCACTGGCTGTAGGGGAATCTTTGCATTTTCCTTCACGGACAGATTTCTGCTTTGCACAGCTTCCTGCCTTCACAGGTCTGTTGTACAAATCATTTCTACCATCCTAGTTAAAGCTGACAACAGGCACTGGAGAATTTATGTCAGGGACTCAGAGGACCATCCTTCTCCAACAGCCTGACTGGGCGAGCGAGGCCCAATGCACAGAGAAATGCTCGCCACCAGGCAGCCAGTCAGTCTCCAGGGAGGTGAGGGGCAGGCGCACACCACCTCTCCCCGCCAGTGGGCTGGACCTGCAAAAATGCGGGTGGGCATGCGTTCTGCCGTGCACACTCCCAACAACAAGGAAATTAAAACAAATGATTTTTAAAGCACAGTTTTCTAAGGAAGTCCACAAAAGGATGAACAGGCAAGGTGGACCTACCTTGTCGGAATCTCTAGACTTCTCCAGAGTGCTGACTACTTTTTCAGAAGCAAGTAAGCTCTCTTCCAGTTTCTGGACTTTTGCCCCCTGAGAAGAAGGTAGAACATTTTGACTAAGCAGCTATTCTTAGACACAAAATTAAAATAAAACCCACCTATGTGAAGCAAGGGTAGTGCTAGGCTCCAGTCTAGAGCCTCCCTGTGAGCCCTGCTCGACAGCGGCCTCGGGCCCCACGACCACCCTGGGCCCCACGACCACCCTGGGCCCCACGACCACTCTGGGCCCCACGAGGAAGCCTCTCTGCGAGGGTGCTGCTTGTACCCACTGGGGGTTAGAGAAACACCAGATGAAAACAAAGAACCCGACAAAATCCCATCTTTTTATCCCAATTCCCAGTGTCTCAGAGCTGGCCCTTTTATGATGACGACTATCTTAGAGCAGGCTGCTAGGCACCAGGAGTAAGGGACGGGCTTCCCACCCTCAGCTGAGAGGAACGAGACGCCTACCTGCTCCTCACACTTGGCCATCACTTTCTGCTTTTCCTGACGCACAGTCTCGAGAGCTTGTAATATTTCTCTGGAAGAGAAGAACTAGTTTTTACTTTGGAATTCCTTCGAAGGAAGCAGGCATGAAGTCTATTCAGACAGAAGAGATTCAAGGCAATGCAGCAGAACTTTCTTGGGCACGTGACTTGGTATCAGCTACTGTACTCCAGTAGAGGCCACAAATTTGAACCTCAAAAACTCTTAACAACTCTGGTGCAAACCCATTTTTGTGCCAGGGCAGTTGATTTTTCTTCAGATGGTTCCGTACTGCCCCCAGCGTATTATTACATATGCACCAGCCATCTCTTTACGCTGAATGCAACATGCACGTGTGCTAGAATGCTTGGGGACTGTTTTAGCTCTCAAAACTTGGGCACTTAGGACAACAGTTCCTGGTTTGTTGGAAGTCACTGAATGTTTGAACTAAAAACTAAGTTAAACACCTCTCTTCTCAACTAGATGTATACTCCATGCTCACTAATGCACACTAGAACGAAGAAGAGACAGTCTCGTTTAAGAACTCTACAAATATCTACTGAATAAGTAAACTCTGCCCACCAGAGTGACCTTGACCTTGATCAAGGGCAAAAGATTGACAGAGATTACCAAGAAATGAAAAACACACAGACAATGGCATTCATTTTAAAGAGTCAGGGGTGGGAGGTGGGGGGGACAAAAAACACAGATAAGTCAGTGCTCACATTCCTATCATAAAAGGAACAGTTTCAAAATTCAAATTCATTGCCATCAATTTATTTAATAGTGACCCTATAAGTTAGACCTCATATCTCTCTCTCTCTCTCTCTCTCTCACACACACACACACACACACACAATTTACTCCCCGAAGACTACATGTTCAGACACACCACCAATTGTTATTTGTTTTAAAAATGCTACAGCTAATTATTGAAATATTTGAAAAGATTAAGTTTCTCTACCTAACAATTTATACAAAAGTTTAGGTTGATTTGGTGATACTTTTAGAACAATGACTATTCACAGGGTATTAGCAATTTCAAGAACATGTTTATAGACAATATTCTAGTCAACAGGAAAAATAAATAGAACTCACTTAGAAATGTTTTCTTTATCTTCTTCAAATTGTAATAACAATTTGTTATTGCGTTCTTTCTCTGCTTCAAAAAGCTCCATCAGATTCTAAAAGACAACACTGTATGAGACTTTAAGGCATTCTTATTAGCCGTCTGTAGCTAATCAACAAACTCTCAGGGACGACATTAAGCGAAAGGGGCTATGGTCCAGTACAGGAAGGAAAGTGACCAGTTACCTTCTCTCTAGTCAACCAGCACTCACTTACTTAACTTACTTTCAGATCAGACTTCAGAGTTTCATTCTCTTTTCTGCTGTTTTGGAAGTTTTTGGTAAGCTGGTCCATTTCAAATTTCATTTCTTCTTGCAAATTGTCATAGGAATCTTGCAGGCAGGCTTTTCTCTCAAGCAGTTTTTCATTTTCCAGTCTTTATCAGGAAAAAAGTTGATGTACAGTAAATGTAAACATTAAGTGTACTTCTTCTAGCCAGATGATCTGCATTTTAATTTACCTACTCCTGGCAAGCCCTGATGAGCTAGGTCAGGGGTTCGCAACCAGCAGGCTTTCTACTGCCGCCAGCCACGAGTTACAGGACCCTGTCCTGCAGGCTCACAAAAGGAGTCAGAATCCTGGCCCATATGAAACATCAGCGCCCACTCTAGAGCACACAGGATGAAGCCAGACAGGTGAGGGCTGGCCCGCGACCACCTTCCCCCAATTCTCCACTCCGCTTCAGCCCTTCAGGAAGGGCTGACATGAGCAAGGAGGAACCAAAGAGGAGCCCACCGTTTCCATACTGGAGACTTAAGCTGCACAGCTGCAGGGTTTAACCACCCCTGCCCCCCGCCAACTTCTGGGGGTTCTGGGCACCTGGAACAGCTGCTGTTTGGGTGTAGCATGTCCAGCCCCTCCTTCTGAGAAGCGCACGCCCTTGCCTGCAGGCGTGACTAACCCCTCCCACCCCTCGCGAGTGATCTCTACAAAGGCAAGCAGGTGACTCCAGCAAGACCCACTGGATCTTCCCTGGATATTCGGACGCTGGGAGAGGATTTTGGAGGTTGCTACGCTGAGAATTGGGGGCTGCTTTCCTGCGACCTGTTCCCTAACACACAGCAGAGGGTCCCCAATAAAAAAACAAACTCATTGCCACAGTCAGCACTTACAGGTGTCTGAGACTAAATCGTTAGAGGATCAGAAAGCGCCATCTTTTCTCTGTGGGGTGGCTAAGAGGGCTCAACTGCTGACCTTGTGTGACGCTCTATGTCACCAGGGCTGGCAGAAGATAGAGCACCAACAGCGTAACGAAGGGGCTTCAACCAGTTCACGGGCACACCCTTTGTCTTTTCACACCAGTCCACCATGCGTCTTTTGAAGCCTTTTATATTCGAGACCCCATCTGGTCTGTCCAGGGAACCGAGATCTCCCCCAGGTCCCTCCAATGTTGAATGCCAAGAAATAACTTCTTTTGGTTGCGCTACTTTGAATTGGGTTCACAGCACCAAAACACAGGCCACCCGGCCCCTGGACACAACAGAACCACTACCTGACATTATCGAGCTGAAGCTGCACATGTATGTGTCTTTCCGAAAGCTGGTTGAGTTCTTTCTCCTGCCTCTCCTTGAGTGAGCTGTACTCCAGTTTCACCGAAGATAGCTCTTTGTCTGCAGACTGAAGGACCACGCGGAGGTCATGCACCTCGCTTTTCAAAACTGCAAAACAAAACGGCAAATCCTCAACAGGTTTCCTTGGAAGCATTTTAGAGAGCAAGCACATGCATGTGATAGGTGCTCCTCCCCTCAGAGTGAAACAGAGAGACCATTCTCCATCTGGCTGCTGACCACAGAGCAGCAGGCAGGAGCATGGGATTCTGCCTCCCCGGGTTTGTTTACACAGAGCAGCCAAGCTCCATCTCTGACTGCAGTGCACGTGACTCCCCCAACTTTCTCCTGTAGAACGTGGACTCCAACACTTGATAGGCGAGGGGCGTGGGGAGAGAGCATATTTTAAGTGACTTGATCTTACTTACTGGAAATGCACCATGATGTTCCAACATAGGTTAAACACACCTGGTTTTTTAAGGAAACTCAACTGGAAGTAAACATATGATCACTCAGATCATAAAGCACCCCTTTCTTCAAACTTACAGTCATTTTTAGTCTGTGTCTCTCGAAGCTGCTTCTCCAGGGCATTCAACTGTTCCAGGGAGTCCTGCTGCTGTTTGGTCCAATCAGTTCTTTCTGATAGGAAAAGCTTCGGGAAAGAAACGCACTTACTTAGAAAAGGTATAACCGTGTTAGGACATTGAGTGGTTTTGTTGTTTAAATCCAGTTTCAAGGTCTCTCCAAACCAAAACCCAAACTCACAGCCATCGAGGCAATGCTGACTCACAGCGACCCTATAGGACGGCAGAGAACTGCTCCTGCGAGTTTCTGAGACTGACCCTTTAAAAAAAAATCATTTTATTGGGGGCTCATACAACTCTTACCACAATCCATACATCTATCCATTGTGTCAAGCACATGTGCACATTTGTGGCCATCATCATTTTCAAAACATTTTCTTTCTACTTGAGCCCTTGGTATCAGCTTCTCATTTCTGTCCCCTCCCTCCCCCACATCCTTCCTCCTGACTCTTTTTGGAAGTAGAAAGCCTCCTTTCTCCTGAGGAGAAGCTGATGGTTTCAAACTGCCGACCTTGGAGATAACAGTCCAACGAGTAACCCTATGGTCACTAGGGCTCTCTAAGTTCTCTAGCTAGAAGAAACTGGTCATTTCCATGCACTGCCGTGAGGACGACCACTGTAAAAACCTGGACTGTCCACTTGGCTTACGGGGAAACCAACGAGCAAGGAATCTATCCAATTGTACTATTGGTGAAGTCACCCAGCGTTTGTCTAGGGCAGTGGTTCTCAACCTTTCTAATGCCTTGACCCTTTAATACAGTTCCTCATGTTGGGGTGACCCTGTCTGTAGGCTTATCTGCATATGGGCGGACCCGACAGATAGAGGAGCAGTGTCTCGATTCCTAAGACCATGGGAAAAATGGTCTTAGGTGACCCCTGTGAAAGGGTCATTCGACCCACAGATCTACAGGTGCTTGTCTTGGTATGAGCACAGGTGTGCCAAGTAAACATGAAGAGAAAGGTTTCGAGCAGCGAGCAGCGTGTTCCCCTGCAACACTCTCAGTGAGGACCCGGCTCCAAGGTTCCCGCGGGGCCGCACCTGCACCTGCACCCGCACGCTCACCTCTTGCATCTGTGCAGAATGATGTTCCAGTTTGTCGATTTGCTGCTGCAGCTTCACATTCTTATGCTCTGTTTCATCTAACGTGACTTGAAGGCAATTCATTAGCTCCTGCAGCAGAAAAACTTCAACAGTCAGGAATTCCTATCCTGGAAATTTTAAATATTCTGATCACTCGCTCACTGCCATCGAGTCATTGCTGATTCCCAGGGAGCCCCTTGGGGTTCCCGAGACTGCAACTGTTTACGGGAGTAGAAAGCCCAGTCTTTCTGTTGCGAGCTACCATGCAGATTGTTGCCTGTTATTAACCCAAACACTAGAAAAACGATGTAATTTAAGAGTTAGTGTGTTTTTTCATAGCAGCAAGCACCAGCAGCCCCATCCCATGCAGTAGAAATTCCGGTTAGCTTAACAGAGGATGGTCTCTCAGCTAAGGATCGGTAAAGAGTACCCTTCAGATAGGGAGTCCAGCATGAAGCTCCCCCCACTTGACTGGGCAGCAGAGCAGTTATGTGAGGGATGGTGGCCCAGTAAACATTCAACTCCTGATAGATGCAAACCTTGGAAAGATCTATGTATAGATTATTGTGTCTTTGATCTGTGCAAAACCTGTGTCTGCCACTTTGTTTGGGTTTGGTATGTAATTTGCTTGATGTTCACTGAGCTTTTGAAGCCATTGTGAGACAGGGAACCCCACTGTTTCCTTCTGTCCTGTGCTCTCAGAATAAACTTAGTTTCTCAAATCCACTTTGTCTCTGTCTTTGGCTGAGACAGTGACAAGCTATCTCGGAATCTTGTTCCAGCAACAATTCCACCATTTCTGACATTGAAAAAATAAAGAAAACAAAACACCTCACAGGCACAGAGGTCTCTTCGGGGCCTGAAACCATTTTACAAGGCTGCACTGCTGAGGTCTCATGCTCTAGGATCACACGTGTGGTCCATCAAAGGGAGCAATGTGAAACACAAAGCGATGATTAAGATCTTGGATTAAATCACAGCATAACCCGGAGCCTTCTAAGCAGCTTTCTCAGAATTGCCAGGAAGGCCTCCGTGCACTTGAAGGGCTGCTTTCTGAGATGGACGGGCAGGAGGGGAACCGTCCCACAACAGTGGGCAGTGGAGAAGTTGAATCATAAAAAAGAAGACCCAATCACCAGAATTCTGAGATGATCAAATTTCAGATGCTCTTTCACATACCCTGAAAGGAGTCTATCAATCTGATGCGTGGTAAGACTATTTGAACAATTCTATGCGTTGGTGGCAGATACAGCTCGTAGGGAATGGTCCTTCTACACGTGAGGACACCAGAGCCCCAGGGAGCTGCGTTATTGGCTAAGAAAGAACGCGAGAGGACTGACCTGAAGAATACACCAATTTGAAATGAAATAGATTTAAATACTATCGATTCAAGTTAAAATGATGAGGTCATGGAAATGTGTGTAAATAAACATCCACCCACATTCCTTTCTCCTGAAACTTGGCACCATTACCTGCACCACCCGGAGCTCCTCAGAAATGGCCTCAAGCGCTTGCTCACTCATGGCAGGTGGAATTGGCTCATTAAAGATATCATTCTCTAATTTATTGGCATTTCCAGTCGGTGTTTCTGGGCTCAATCTTGGAATAGGTCGAGATTGAATTTGATAAGCTTTGGTTGGTGTAGTTATAATCTACAGCAAAAAAAAAAAAGGTTATGGAAAACAGTATACAACATTAAAAAGAAGTGAAATGCAGGATATTTACCACTTTCATCAAAAGAAGCAATAAAACTGAAATCCTAGTCATCACAAAGGAAATGAGAAGCCACATAAAAATGTCCACACGGAGACAAACTCATCAGTTCAACGCAGTTTCAAGAAGACGTCCAAGGACGCTTGAAAATGAAGCTTGAGAAGCGGATTTCAAACCCCGCCCAAAGGCTCCATATGCAAGACAATCCGAGAGCACGCCGAGACCTCCTAGGTCAACAGACCCATAAGCCTCTAGTGGTGGTGACCCCCCCAACCATGAAATCATTTTCGTTGCTACTTCATCACTGTCATTTTGCTACTGTTTTGACTCAGGCGACCCTGTGAATGGAGCGTTCGACCCTCAGGGTGAGAACAGCTGCTCAGGTCACTAAGGAAACACAGTATTAGCACACCAGAGTCAGAGCACTGGAACAAAATGCAAAGTCCAGAAACATCCATTTATATGTAGAAATTCAAGTTGGGGGGGGGGGGGCGTGTCAGGAATAGACTATTTTTAAAGATTTCTACGTCATGCCACTCAAAATAAATTAGCAGTTGCATTAATGCGAACAATGTAAAATGTTATTTAAGTAGTAAAAGAATATAGACTATACTGCAGATCGTGCGATGATCTAAACCTTTATAAAGCATGGAAGAAGTAACAAAAATAAACCTGTCAACATAAAACTTTCCAAATGTCTGTATAGCAGACGTTTTCAAGGGTGAGAGACAGGCAGCAGGGCAGGAGAACAGAGCACACCAACATGTCCCATGCTCCATAGAGGTCAATACATGAAAGCTCCAGGAGCCTAAAGAACAAGGCACAACGACTAGCACAGTGGACTCTGTCTTTTCCCTGGAGAAAGATACGCAAATGGACAGCAGATTCAAGACGGTCACCCTACTAGAAATGCGAGGTAAACCCTAAATAAAATGGTCCAGCTACCGTGGAAAACAGGCAGTTTCCTCAAAAGCACAGGGAAACAAAGGTCTATGCACCAATTGCACCTCTAGGCTTACATTTCAGAGAGCTGAAAGCAGGGACCCAAGCACGTGCCTTGTCACCCACATTCACAGCAGCATTCATCACAATGCCCTAAAGGCAGGTGCAATCCAAGTGCTCATCCACAGACAAGTGGGAAAACATAGTGTGCCCCCTTACATGACGGAAAGGCCTTCAAGCACGAGGGAAACTATAGCCCTGACGCACACTACGACACAGACGAGCCTTCAAACAGACCCAAAGCAACCAACGGGACACCCAGGACAAAGGTGGCGGTCCTGCTCTCTGACGTCCAGAGGAAGGAAATGCAGAGGGGCAGCCAAGTCACATACCAACTACAAGCGGAGAGGAGAGGGAATGGGAGCTACTGCTTAGGGAGCACAGATCAGAATTTTGGTGATAAAAATTTGCAGTGAGCTGGTGGTTAACTGTTACACACTGTGACTGCACAGGAATCAATGGCTCTGCTTCGTACAGTGCAAACCTGGTCAAAACGGCATGATGCCCGCTCTTCGGGGAGATGTTCAGAAATGAGCCCCTCTACTGAGAAGGTATGTGGGGCAGTCACTCAGAGGGAACACTGCAGCAGATGGACCGAGATGTCCTTCAGAGCATCCACCCTGAGAAATGCTTGACCTGGATACCCTCTAAATAGGCTACACGTCAGCCAGACCACCTATGACCGAGTTCAAAACCATGTAGCGGCTCGATGCATCTTCTCAGTCAGTGCACACTCACTGTGCAAAAAGCTCCGCAAAGCCCTCGGGATGAGAGCCAACTAACTCGGGCACGGACGCTCAAAAGAAACAAGCCTTAATTCGCCTGAACACAAAATGCACATCTATTCAACTAGAAGAACCTTTGATGGAGTAATTATGCAAGGAAAACTAACAACAGCAGTGAAGACCTGCACGACGGCCACCTCTGGCAAACCCTCTCGTTCCCACCGTCCTTTTGGTCGCCGCCCCATAAACTACAGCAGCAGGCCGAGTGCCTGTAATTAATTCTACTAGGCCAGGTGTTACAAAGAGGGGGCTAATAAGATATTTGGCAACATTCTTCAAGTCTTTAAAAATAATGTCTGATACTAGCAGATTTTAAAGGTTACTTAAAAACGTAAAATTCTATCGCAGAAGAAAAAAACTTTTTTTTTTTGCACAAAATCACAACACAGTAGCAAAGAGACCTCGGTTCTCCTTCAGACACAGGAGTAGTGATAAAGCGTCAGTAGGCTGAAAGAAGGGAAAGCAAAATGAAACAAAACCCCAGCGTGGAGAACAGCGTTTGTGTGAGAGAAGGAAAGGAACACAGGAAAGCAGGCTCGCCAACGCTGTCTCCACAAAGGGCGTGGACAGGACGGCGGGAAGATCAGCAGACGCAGACTTGTCCCTGTCCTTCCTGAACAAGTGCCATGCGAATCAGAAAATGAAGACAATGACTTCCACAAGAAGTCTTCTGGCACAACAGCACTAATAAAAAGCACTATTATAAATCCATAAGCATTTACATGGTTTTTAAAGTTTACGATGTCTAAGAAAGCGGGCTACAGCCTCAGAGAATGAGGAACCATCACGGTGACCATCGCTTCTGGGTCCTTCCTGTCCATTTCCCTGGCCTCTCCTGATTCTGAGTCAGCATCAACTGGACAGCAAAGGGCTTCTCTTCACCCTCAGAGGCACGCACCTCCTTCCTTTTTCAAGGGCTGTGGTTTTTGAGGGGGTGGGGTGGGGATCCCCTTGCTATTCCCAGCGTTCCCTAGAACCCTGCGGGGTCTTGTCTTGAAGGTTCCGGCTCTCCCACGGAGAGCGGACAGTCAATCCTGCTGGACAGCAGTTGACTCTCACTGAGTTCAGCCCCTGGTCATGTGCTTCGTCCGTGACTTCACGTAATGCTCTAACAGACCTGTCATTAAAGAGTCCTGATCCTCAAACCAGAGATCACCTTGGCGAGGCTCAGGAGTCAGGAAAGCACCCTCAAGGGAGTGGCAGACTGGGATTTGAAGCCAGCTCTAACTCTCAACGCTGCATTCTCTCCTGCTGTCCCTGGGGGTCCACATCAGACCCCTGGGAGCCGGGGCAGACATCAGAGATGGCTTGGCTTAAGCTGCAAGGGCTGCGTCAGCTCACCTACCTTAATGGTTTCAGCATGGATTTTATTCAGCTGAGAAACTTCTTGCCGCTTGCAGACTTTAGTTGCTTCCAAAATGTTTTCAAGATTCAAGTTGGCTTTTTGCAAAGACTGGAGCTCTGATTCCAATTCTAGCTGCTTTCTCCTAATAGACAGTAAAAGGCTGAGTATTTCAGGTAAGAATAACAGCAGGCATCCGCAGAGTGCTTCATCACGTGTCCCTGAACTCCATCGTCTCTCTCTGAGTCACAGAGTCTCTCAGCCTACTCCCCTCATTCACCAGTTGGGTTACACATCGCTCAGGAAAGTTGATGACTGTCTAAGACACGTGACTAGTAAGTAGTAGTGCTCGGATTCAAAGCCACATAGGACGCGTGTCTTTTAAAACAAACCTCTCTCGAGCTGTACATGACGAACGGCGTTGTTTGGTTATGGGATGCACGTGGATTCTGATTTCCGTGAGCCCATTCATCAGAGCAGAAGTGCCCCATGGGGTTTTCTGGGCCGTCCTCTCATCTCGACAGAAGCTGACTGTTAAGTCTGTGTTGTGTCATGGGGAGCCACTAGGTGGGGTCACAGAGCCAGGCTTTCTGTTAACAGCGAGTCCTTGACTACTGCACCACCAGGGCTACTTCTACTTTGCAACAGGATTGATTTTAGTTAGACTATGAATTAGCTTTAATATGATTTATCTTTGTTTTCTTCTATACAATGAACATGAATATTAATAAACCTCTGCTTCCTAACATTTCTGATGGTAACAGTGATTTAAATTAGGTAACCAGATAAATAAAGAATTTACAACATAAATCCAAGAGATAAGAATTTCAATAGCAGCTTTGTATTAAACATTCATATCATCTAGCTCAGGGCAGCCCACAGGCCGCATGCGGCCCTCCAAGGTAATTTTTTGTGGTTTACGATGCTCTGAAATAAAGTGAAAATTTAAAAAAATGTTATGAAGAAAATAGCGCTTAGGGGAGATCGAGGCAATACCATACACACAAGCATTGTGGGCCACAAAAAATTACCTCGGGGACCGCATGCAGCCCATGGGCTGCCAGTTTGACACCCCTGATCTAGATCATTAAATGTATTATTAAAGGGCTAGAAGCAAAACTTTTCAGGGCAAAACCTAAGTTAGTTGCTGGTCTTTAAGTTTAATATTTAAAACGAGGTGTCCAATATTTTAAAGAAATGTCTTTACACGTTACCTTGTTAGTTCTTTGAATTCTTCATATTCTTGCTTGGAATTATTCAGCTCTGTCTGAATTTGCAGGAGCTGTGCTTTCAGTTTCTCCGTGTTTGCCAGTGAACACTGCTCTCCTGGGACTTTAGAAGAGAAGCTTGGCTGACCTGATAACAAGGAAGCACCTTCAGTCTTTGAAATGACCAGCACAGTACGAAGAAGAACAGAATGCTAGTTAGGCGTCCAACAGAGGCCTAAGGGGCACAAGGAGCAAGACGCTCATGCACGAGCATGAGGAGTCACCCTGAGGAGCAGAGACCACGGGACGGAGGCCATGTCTTCCCAGTGGGAGCGGAGGAGACGGCGAGGGAAGCAGACGGCCCGAGCCGTGCAGAGATCAAGAGGATCAGCTACCACTCACAGGCTACAGATGACTTAGGGAACCAGGAACAAGGGCAGAACGCACTAGTTTTCAGAAACTGCATGGATCGCTGAATATGCAGGAGACTCCACTGAGTTTCAATGTGGGAAAATATCAAGTAAAAGTAGTTTGTAGAATGACAGTGGTTTAAAAGCAGATGGAGTCTAGAAATTGCCATATTTTGAAGGTAGTGAGTAAATGGCAGTGAGCTACAAAAAAATGGCATTTTTGTCATTTATATTTTGCCATAGTAAAAAAAAAAAAAAGAGGAAAAATCTCAACCAAAGAAAACAAAAAACAAACACACCCATATAGATAATACAATTCTCCTTTGATAAACAGCAAGTGGGGTCTTAAATAAGCTCATGAGCGACACCCAAAGTCCAGCTATCAGCGCCCCCCTGGCTAGAAGAAAGCACGGTGAACATCAAAGGCACAGGCAATCACACACTGGCCCAGGGAACTTTGCCCACAGTAGACTCCACAACCTTGAGAACAGAACTGCATGGTGCCCGGCTGCGAATACCAACTGCTCTGAAATCAATCACCAGAGGACATCCTGGGGAGAGCGGGAGGAAAATGTGGAACCAAGCTCAAAATCATAGAAGAGGCTCACTGGTTGGAAAGAGACTGGTGGGCCATTCAGACTAGGACCCTTAGTCACCCGTCAAGTTTGGAACTGAATTCACCCCATGGTTCAATCATACACAGGTCTCGAAGAGGCACAATACCACTAGCAAGGTACACACACCTTAGAATAATCAACAGCTGAGATCAAAAGGGCAGCATTTACCTAAGGACACAATTCAGAAGGTTTAGGAAAGAAAGAATGAAAACAGGAAACAGGCAGTGAGATAAGTAATGACACATCGAGGGGATGGTAATGAATGAGATGAACAGAAAGGTGTATCAATTATTGAATGTAAAACTGATGATCTGCTCCAGAAAGCTTCACCCAATTCACTAAAAAGTTTTTAAAAAAAAACCAAGATTGGGTATGATAAAACATCCTGCAAATACTATTGCTTCTAGGAATGGGGCAAGCACAGACTTTGTAACCAGATCCCCAGGGACTAACACTGATAGTTGTCAACCTCGTTAGATTAGATGCTCAGACTGACTATGCCATTTTTCAAAGAGCTAAAAGTAAACTTATGGAAATGACATGCACAAAGTGTACCTATGTTGGCAAAGATGGCTGCTAGTATGACATCAGGACTCAGTGCTGCATGGACCAAGAGACTGACCTCCCTGATCACTATCACACGACAGACGCCAGCCAGGCTGATTACGATTTCAACTCCATATTCATTCATTCATTCATTCTACCATTTCATTTCAAATCCTTTGGAAAAATTCCACTTACCAAAAATTAAAGTGATATCCCAACAAACCTTTAATCAATGAAACAGAAATATGAAATGCAATGGGCATATCCTTCCTATCACGATTAGCCGATGTAATTTACTACTGTGATTTTCATTTTGAAAAAGTTTAAAAACCGGCTCTTGATAACCCAAGAGCATAAGATGTTCGCAGATCAGGGCTGGACGCTAACACGAAGGCCCGACTGTAAGACACTATAAACATGCTTTGAAGAAACCTCCTTTACAAGGCACGTGTACAATCACGCCTCACCTTTGCTGCTTCTCTCTGTCTCACAGACGTCGGAGAAAGCTTTCTCTAGCTTTGCAATGGCCTGGGCATCCATTTCTTGGGCTTTTTTCACAGGTTCAAGTACTCTTAGTCTCCTATTCTCCTCCCGGAGGGATTGATTTTCCATCGCATACTTGGCAACGCGAGGGTGGTGCTCTATCTGCGACACAGAAGCACGGGCATTGTATACATTCATACATAATACATACATCTCCCTAATGCACATCTTTCCAAACAGCCCACTGCTGTGGAGAGCAACGCGGCATTTGTGATCGGATTGAAATGTTCATAGAACAGCGCTGTTACTGAGTTCTATGACGTTCCTCCCAGCACTCAAGGAAGTACACAGGGTGTGCACTGGTGCAGACTCTGCATGCCAACGGGCCAGACTATGTGCACGGTGAGAAGGGCAGGGGAGACTCAGGAGGTTAGAGTGCCCTCCAAAACACACTACTAAGGGAACGGGCACGATGTATGCTTCTGGGGACAGACGGAATAAAAGCAGCCATATTAGTTTAAACAGTCATCTAAGCACTCTGGAAAAAGACACAAAAATCTGATACTGATTATCCTTTGCTTTTTATCCCTGGGCCGCCTGTCATTAAACGATCCTTCTTCTCCAGGGAAAAGGGAAAACCTCACAGATACATTCTAGAGTAAGGTGACCAGATTTTAACATTGGTAAAGCGAGACACCATTGATAAAACTCATATCCTGGTGAAATAGCCCCATGGCAGCGGAAAGCCGTCTACCCTAGCTTGTCATGCATTCTTTCCAAAAATCGGGACTTTTTAAAAACGCCATGGGACGTGCGAAAAATTGTTAAAAATTGGGACTGTCCCACCAAAAGCGGGACTTCTGGTCACCTTATTCTAGAGAGACTGCCCTGCACACTGCCCGCTGGGGTTGAGTTCTCTTACAGCAACATCCTCACACCTTCCTCCCTTTCCTTCAGGCAGTGCTCGCCTGGAAAGGGGGAAGGAGTGATGAAATTACCCTAGGCACTGAGTTCATTTTAAGCTACTTCCACTGCCCTAAACTACAGGGATTCAGTGACTCGCTTGTACTTCCTCTGTATTTGTTTTCAAAGGCCACGTACGCACTTGTTCACGCAGAGTCTGAATTTCATCTCTCAACTCCGAGAGCAGGCGATCCTGTTCCTCCGGCAGAAAACTTCCCCGGGATTCCTTGTGGAGCTTCTCCAGACGCATTATTTGATCCTCTCGAAATTTCACAATCATTTTATTAGATTGGATGAATTTTTCCTTTTTGATGGTGAGGTCTTCTAATTGAGTAACCTTTTCTATCAGAGCCTTAAGAAAGTCACAATTTGGTTAAACAAAAATAATTCCACTTCCCTAAATTTCATAAATCTGAACATTAACACGAGCTTGACATTTCATCTTTTTCTTCTTTTAAACAAAAGGTGTAATGAATAATATTCACATCATCGTGTTCCTCGTTGTTGCTATTGTGAGGCGCTCTCTCATCAGTTCCCACTCACACTGAACCCATGTACCCCAAGCAAAGCCAAACACCCCGTCTGGGAACATCCTCAGTTACTGCTGTCCGCACCCCTTGATGCAGCCACGGCGCAATCCTACATTTCACCTTGACATAAAAATATCTATGTATTTCTCAGTGTGTCTTCAGTGAAGGCTGACATAGCAGTTTAGACTCCCAATGGACAAGTCCTGCCTACGGAGTCTAGTGACACTGCTAACTTCTCCAAACCGTGTCAACATTCCCATTTCTATTTTGGCAGTTCAATGCCCATGAATATTGCTTCCCTGTCCCCTAGGATTCTCACCATAGTTTTAATTATTGATCATTAGGTCTCAAATCGGTGATTTTCTAATTCCATTTCATCCTAAAAGCCAAGTTTGCTTGTTCATAGCCTTCGTTACAGACACGCTACCATTGGCTTTGTAAGGCAGCAGCAGTGAACACTAGGACACCAGATTCAGTTCCTACCTTCCTTTCCTGTTCAGACTTCTTAAAGAACAGCATTGCCTCACGGAAACACTTCACATAGTTCGTATTCCCTGGGTCTGTAACTTACACAGCAAGAAGAAAAAAGGAATGGGAAAGAAAGGTTTATTTCTCAAACTTTTAAAATCAAGAGATTAACCAAAACAGGCAGCCGTTAGTGGACGACTCTCAACTAACCTAAAAGAACCATGTGGTCATTGTAGGATTGTGGATTCAAATGAACCCCTTCTCCAAGGAAACTTCCCTTCCTCTGGAGTTACTAAACAGATAGATTCTGTAAGGTATAGCAGAACCTTAGAAGTACATCCAAAATGATTTGGGGGAGCCTGATTGGGTTGTGTGCCTGTCTTTCTTTGATAAACAAGCATTTTTACTGTAAATTGGCTGAAGCTGTTTATACACGTTTGTTTCACCTCATTCATTGCAATTCCCTCCATGTAAGTTTCTCCCTGCATTTCCTATTTCCAGTCCTCCTCCCCTAACTCTCTGAACTTTGCCCTTGGGTAAAGGCTACCCCTTTGACCTCAACTCATTGGTTATTCCAGGTGTGTGCCTATCTCACTAGGATTACTGTTCTCCGTATACACCTATCTACTGTTTGGCTGAAAATCGGCGGTGGGTTTACCTAACTCTTGCAATCTAAATCACATTCATGGTTTTATGAATTTTGCATTAACTCATTGTATACATTACTATTCTTGGAAGAAAAATTATTTAATTCTATTTAACCTAGATTACATATAGTATGATAGAATCTTAGAAGTAGATCTAAGTAGAATATATTAGCATGTGTTTAGCACATATTGGGGGTGAACTATCCACATTACTTCAAATCCCTCTTCCTATGAAACTCAGTGGCAATGGTTTATGTAACTGATTCCAGATGAAGTACTAGGTTCCCATCTAAGGGAAATAAGCAGAAAGGGATCAACAAGGGCAGACGGTCATGGGAAATTTGGGATCTACCACCAAGAGTTCTCCAGTTAATATTAGCACATGGTCTTGCCCAGGGAAAAGGACCTGCTGCTCATCTTACCTCTGGTCAGAGAGCTCTCTGGTGGTATCTGCCCTGAAATACAATGGGCCAGTTGTTCTTTGAGCCTCTTTATTTCAGCTTGCAGCTGGCTCACATTTCCTTGGGTGTCTTCATTTACCACTGCCTATGCAAGAAAGAAGTTTGAAGGAAGCAGTAAAAGAGTGCTTGCTGAGCTCTACAGACCGACTTTCACATTTGTTTGTGTGATTTGGAGTGAACCAAAGAAAGCTGCACGTTCATCTCACCAGCATCCCAGTGGCCCCACAACCAGTGTCCTTCCTCTGAGCCTCCACATGTAGAACCAGAGCAGAGTGCCAGCCAGGCTCCCTGCCCCCCACTTAAACTTTCCCCCTCTGCTAACCACTCCTGGGTACTGCTGGATTGGATCACCCGAGACCTAGTTACACTCAACCTCTTATTTCCTTTGCTTCTGCAGAGGAACAAACACCCCAGTGTATCTGTCATCTCCCCTCTGTGCTAGAACACCGTCCCAGAGAGCCTTGTCAGGCACTTCCAAGTGCTAGGCTGCAATGGTGGGGACAGGGACTTACCATTGGCAGGGACCAGTATAAGGCTCCTTGCTTTTCTGTTTTGCATGTCAAGAGATTTTTCCCAGTTTTTTCTAATACTTATGGCCAGCCTCATTATGAAGCATGCCTGTACATTGTGACATCATGATCACATTGGTGACATGACTCTAATGGTCACTGCGTTCTCTACCTCCAAAGACTACTAGAAATCCCAGACACAGGGCCAGAAGGCCCTGGTCACTCTTTCTCATCACAGTAGAAATATACAGATCAACACCTAAGGAAATAAAATGAATGGCTCTTCTGACTTACCAGGAATGGCTCTGAAATAAGTTTAATTTTAAACAGAAAAGAAACTTTTCTTTCTAACTTTTAGGTTTTTACAAGTTGATCCTCACACCCATGGAATCTGTACTTGCAAATGTGCCTACTGGCTAACATTTTGCTTGTAGGACTAAATCAATACTTGCGATGCTTTCACGGTCCCTTGTGGGTATGCAAAAAGAGAGGGACAGGCCTTCAATGCACACGCTTCCACGCTGCAGCCAGGCAAAGCAATCCCACAGCTGCTTATTTCAGCTCTCAAGTTAGGCCCCGTGTCCTTCCACAGGCTACGTAGTACAGCTCGAGCTGTGCAGCGGGTCTTGGTGAGAACAGCTGTGCATTAGATAAGCTATGTTCAGGCATCAACAGTAGGGCTTGTACCGCTGAGTTCCGGATTAATAAAGCAACAAGACACATTTCTAAAATCTTGTTATGCAGAAAAACACATACCACTTAAGGTGATGCATTGGTGGTTGTTAGTTTCCAACTCTGACTGATTATGTCATTAAATTTAACATAACGAAGCCATTTCCAGGCCCACAACACCCTAAGTACACTGGTACAGTTAGGTCCATTGTTAGGTGATGTGCCACTCTATTGTTTTCATGACCTTCCACTTTACCAGCCATGACATACTTATTATTAATAGGTGGAAGAAAACGTTGCTTCCAGAGTGTAGAAAACTAACACTGAATTACTCCTAAGGATAATAGCTTAGCACTTGCCTTTTCAGTGTTTGCAATAACTTTATAAAACACAACGAATGCAAACAATGAGAATCGAGTGAACTTCTCTCCATGCAGGATGTGACTATCTCAAGGACTGAGCAGATTGCCCTGGCTCAAGAGGAAGGGCAACCTCAACCCATGTCCTCTCTCATGAGATGATCAGATGACCAGGGGGCTGCCTTTTGAGAAGATAACAACCAATTTTGTCCACTGAAGAAAAGAGGTCATTAACTAATTTATCACCCTAACTACAGTACAGTTTCCCAAACTTATTTGACCTCCTGCCCCTTCTCAGAAGAAAAATTACTCAGCAACACCCCCCTTTCCCCCACTCCCGACAATTAAAAACGCTTGTACTGTAGCTCAGAATCCAGAACAATGTGTGCAGATCTGCTTTTGCAGCCTCCGGATCATCCCAGCACCCCACAGTAGGCAGCATCGCCCACTTTGGGAAGCAGAGATGTAGAGCCACAGGGGTGTCCAACCTCTCCAAAGGGCTGCGCTCTGTGGTCTTTGACAGTTGACACTGATGGTTGGCAAAGTCTGTCCTCAGGCCCAAACCAGCCCACCGCCTACTTTTGTAAAGAAACTTTGTTAGAACACAGCCAGGCCGTTTGTTTACAAATAATTTATGATGCTTTCTATATAACAAAGCCCTGCTGAGTAGTTGGGGCAGACACCAAATGGCCCAAGAAGTCTAAAATGGAAACCATCTGACGCTTGACAAGAAGATAGCCAACCTCCAGTGTAACGACCACCAAGGAGACTTCCTGGCTACAAAGCAGAATGTGGAATCCTTGGACGTGGTGAAAGACGACGTTTGTCAGGGTTATGTTCATGGTGTATCGCTCACCAACAGTCGAATACACAGACTCAGGTAAGTAAATGTAGTTTCCAAACCAACTACAAAGGAAAAACTTTGACTTCTTATAACCAGCTCCTAGCCAAACCTTCACAGCCAAAGGCCTAACCTGGATCTCCACGGAAACCCTTAACACAGAGGGCTGTGAAAAAGGACGTGGGATTCTTGAAGATGAGCTTTTGTCAGGAAGTAAGTAAAAGTTAATGTTGGTATTAGAGTAATCAGGAAAATGGGATGCAATAAGCTTATGTATCTTGCTAGTTTGTTTAATAAAGCACTCAGAAGGATTTTTTTTTTTTAACTCAGAAGGATTTTTACCTTGTTTTTAATCAGCTTGGCTCTTTGAGCAAAATTGAGAGTTGATAGAGTTTCCCCAAAGCACCTGGCTCCAGGATGCACATTCGCAATGATGGCTGTCTTGGCGTTACCTCCCAGGGAATCCTGTTGAATGACGTGAATGGTGAGCATTTTCAGGCAGGCAATCACAAGACCGCTCTCAAGCAAAGGCAAGTATCTATTCCTGCCGCTACGACCGAGAGGCACCTGACCATCAAGCAGAGGAAATAAGTGTAACCACAATAAAGAGTCCAGACTCGATGGCCCAGCGTACCCGCAGCAGGAAGGTGAGCTTGGAGTCTCTGTAGCAAACGTGTCTCTGCTTCCCGTGGCCCACATCCACAAGGGCAGTAATCACTTGACCCAGGCAGCTCAAGGAGCGGTTGATATTACCTGCTTCCTGAGGTGTTGGTGGGGGAAACAAAAAGAGAAAACGAAGTGCACTGGTTACTTTTGGTATTTTAAATTACAGTATCCCAAGTAGGCGTGAGAACTCTGGAGGAAAAGGGAAAGCAGCGGCTAACTAGTCAGGGACACTAACTTTTCAGGAAAAAGATGCGGTCAGCTATCCTGTACCCTATTTGATACACACTATGATTTTATCATTCAAAGACAAACACAAAAATGACGTGAAACAACAAAATTATATTAATTCCCACTGATAACAGCTTGAAGTTGACCTAAAGATACAGATAAAGAACAGGAAAAAAAAAAGAGTTGGGCTTGGGGGGAGCAGGGAGGGAAAAAAACAAGGAGCTGATACCAAGGGCTCAAGCAGAAAGCAAATGTTTTGAGAATGATGATGGCAACAAATGTACAAATATGCCTGACACAATGGATGGATGGATGGATTGTGATAGGCGTTGTATGAGCCCCCAATAAAATGTTTTTGCTTTTTAAAAAAAAGTTGGGGTAGCATATTTATTATTAAGAAAAACTTCAATCCTGGTGTTAAATGTTTGCTACATTATAAGGATGTAATAGCTAATCACTCAATTTCCAGTCTGGTGATGTAGTGGTTACTCACTGGGCTGCTAATTGCAAAGTCAACAGTTCAAAAGCAGTAGCTGTTTCAAGGGAGAAAAATGAGGCTGTCTAGTGAGTTGGAATTGATAATGGTGGCAGTGAGTTTGGTTTAAGCCTCACAAAGCCACTGATGAACTTAGTCAAAATAAATAAATAGGTAGACAAAAAGCAGTCTAACTCTGTAAAGTATAATAAAACCCAAGCCTTCTGATTTCTTGTTCATTATCATTCCACAGAAAGGCCAATGAAAGAGGAAATAATTTGACAATATTCTTTAGTAGACACATATTCTATCAACACCCTTTACAGAAAATCCTCACACACAACAGTGCCTTGTTGGCAGGTGCAGCAGGCCAGTGTTGTTCTGTGGCAGACAGGGTCACTGTCAGTCGAAACTGATGGACAGCACCTCACAATGACCACAATGATGTGGGTGGCTTCTGCAGTCCACTCTGACTCATGGCAAGCAGTGCACATCATGCAAAACTGAGCTCCATCAGGTTTTCTGTGGCCGACTTTTCAGAATTAGATTGCCAGGCCTTTCTTGTATGATGTCGTTAGGTCAGTGGTTCTCAACCTGTAGGTCATGACCCCTTTGAGGGTGGAACGACCCTTTCACATGGGTCGCCCAATTCATAGCAAAATGACAGGAAGTAGCAACGAAAATAATTTTATGGTTGGGGGGATCACCACAACAAGAGGAACTGCATTAAAGGGCTGCGGCATTAAGAAGGTTGAGAACCACTACTCTAGAACCTCAAACTTTTAGTTAGCAGTTGAGTGCATTAACTATCTGTACCATGTAGTATTAGGAAGTGGGGGCAGCCCCCCACCGCTAGTCGCGGGTTCAGTAAGCACAATTGTAAGGTTGAGATATATAAGTATTATATTAAAGTCATCATGAGCATGAGCGATAGAAGAGATATTATAATAATGCAGTCAGACACAATACATGGTAGCATTGCTCACCTCAGACCCGCTTGGTGGTCCACGTGGAGAGAAGGGGAAGGGAAGGAGGATGGGAAAGGGAACAAGGGGGAGAGGATGGGAGAGGAGAGGGGGAAGAGAGAGCAGTGAGAGCCCAGGGAGAGAGACCTCTACTGCTAACCCAGGCCTGTATACCTTTTGGGGGCGTACAAACCCACTAGTTACAGGTAGACATACATCACAGGAAGGGGTTGCACTATAGGTTATACAGCAATGAGAGGGCGTGGTCTAGGGACATACATGAAATAGAAAGAGGAGGGATTGGGGGGTATACATGTGATAAGATGGCTGGATCCTAGATTTAGGATGGCAGCTTAACTTTGACCTGTTCTCTGGGTCTCCATAGGAACCATTATCAGTAAGGTGCAATCCCCTCCTACAGGAACCAAATAGATGACTGCAGGCCTATCCATTGTCTTTAACAGCAGGGGGCGGGGCACTGCAGTCTGGCACGCTCAGGGGGGATGCCTGATCATCTGACCTCCCCCCACAGTACCATCCATGGACTCAGTAAAGTATAATAAAAAACCTTTGAAAAACAGTGCA